ACTCTCCCCCTTATTTTTTGAAGCAGGTCTCTCACTGAACCTGGAGCTCACTAACTCAGCTAGGCTGTCTGCTTCATCAGCTCCAGGATCCCTCCTTTCCTGTGCTGGGATTACATATGTTTGCCATCCCACCAGCCTTTTTCATGTGGGTGCTGGGGACCCAAATTTAGGTCCTCATGCTTGCCCGGCATGCATGCTATTGACTGAGTCACCTCCCTAGCCCCTGAATATGACTTAATATTGAGGGAAAATGCCCTTTTAATGTGCTGGCCTTGTTGGATAGATGCTCAGTCCTTTAAGATCAGAACCACTATCCACATAGCAGCTTGGTTGGAGCCCGTCCCTGGAGAGCCGGTGAGGGATAGTCCCTTCTTTCCTCTGGGGCTGATTTAAGTGTGGTCCAAGGAGGGTAAGCAGACTGGCCATGCCCCAGTGCAGGGTGGGAGAGAAGCACTGTGGAGGGGTGCTTGGGGAAAGTAGCAACAGTATCTCCTTGCCTGTCCCAGACCCGTGGCTCTCGCCATTGGGGAAGACTGGGCTGACTGGGTGGGTGATGGTGAGGAAGATTCAGGGCTCTGCCTCAGGGTCTTGGTCTCTTCCAAAGCCGTCTTTAGGTTCACAGTCATTCAGGGACTGCCCTCAATCTGCCCTGGACTTGGGAGGTGACAGGTGATCAGAAGCTGAAGGAGGGAGGGAGGTCTGCAGGAGAGAGGGGCCGGGTTTGGAGGGGGGAGGCTTGGCTTCCAGGGACAGCAAGAGAGAGCCCTATCTGCTCCTAGACCAGGCAAGCGGAAGTGGGTGCTGGGGAGGGCCAGCCACACGGGAGGCCAGCATCGGCCACTTTCAGTGGCCATCTGTGTGGTCCTTGCTTTGGACGCTGCCAGAGAAATGGCCCTTGAGTCAGAACCAGGATCAGAGGGGTCAGGACTGTCCAGCCAGATCTTGGGAGGAATTCTGTTTGCCCAGTGATTCAGAGAAACAAACAAGCACAGGAATGCTCCAAATCAGGGCAGCCCCACCGCAAAATCAAATTGACACTGTTCCTTCCCTCTGGTGCTGGGGTATAGTCCTCAGCCCTAACCAGGCCAGGCCAGCTCTCAGCTCCCTCTGGACAGGGTGGGACAGCCCTCCTGTGGGCATTGCCTCACCAAGCTCTCCTTTGGGGACCCCAAATAAAGCTGGAGAAATTTAAGATGTTTTCCTTCTTTTCAAGGAAGTTCCTGGCTTGGTAAAGACCCGCCATGCAGCCTGCCCCTTCTGTCAACAGCGTGGTAATTCCAGCCTGGTAATTCCTGAAAGTGGCTGGGCTATCTGACTACACCAGGACCCTCCCCTTCCATGGTGGAAGCCACTTCCTTCCTGCAAGTTGGTTCTTTTGCATGAAACCCACACAAAACCCAATCAAACAAGACGTGTTTTTCCCCAAGACACCAACTTTGCAATCAAAGCCTGACTTGGCAGTAGGCTCAGCCCAGCCCCCGGCCCTCAGGATGCCCTATACATCATGCGACTATGGGGCACAGCTGTCTGAGGAGCCACCAGCATCAGAAAACCTGTCACGTCTTTATGTGTCCTGAGTGAAGATATGCAAATGTGTCCAAAATGACAGGCTGTGCCACTCTGCCCAGAGGAGGAAGCAGGAGCCTTTTCAAGACCCCTGATTAGCCCTGAGTCTCTGTAACGTGGGGAAAGGGGACCCGCGGGAGGGAGGGGGAGGCAGGGTGCTTCCCTGGGCACCAGGTGCAGTGCAGAGGATGCTGCACTGATTCATAGACTCAGCTGGTCCTTGGGTCTGTGGTCCATTGCGCAGCGGGTCCTACAGATGAGGCACAGGAAGGATGACGGGCAGGCCCAGGGCCACACTCAGGCCACAGTCCTGTCTTTCCAGGCAGAACCCTTCACCATCTACCCCTGGGAGGGAGTGGGAAGGCTGGGGAGGAATGGGTGGCCTGCACATTGCTGCAGGGGAATGCCTTTCTCTGGGGAGAACCAAGCTGACTCCAGGGCCGTGTAGATCATCATGGGCTATGCCTTGAGACTGGAAGTGACTGTGGTGTGGGCAGTAAGGGATGCCAGCCCTGGGAGCTCCAGATGCGGAGACCCAAGGCCCTGCCTGGCTCACCTGGACCAGTGACAGTCAAGCTGGGCTCAGGGAGGCAGGGAGGGGATAGAGGGGGCATGATACCTTAACAGTGTGGGGTGGGTTCGACCCCAAGGCTTTGTCTGAGACAAGGAAACGCCTAAGGAATTCCTAGTACAGGTGGGAAGGGCACTGGGGTGAACACTGCCCCAGGGAGGGAGCACTCAGAGCATTGTGGGGATCCTAGGGTCACAGGTGTGGGCCTATCTTCACCTTCCAAGGGAGAACTAGACAGGCAGATGAGGGTCAGCCGTGTGAGGAACGTGGCGTTCTGACATCTCCAACCACACTCCTGACTCTCCAGGCTGTCCAGACTAATCATTTCTTGCCCACTGTGGGGCCAATCCTAATGTGATCCAGGTAGATAGGGCTTAATCTCCACTGAGTCACCAAGCTAGCCTGCCAGGACCAAAGGGGTATCAGATGCTGGTTTCCTGTCCCACATCAGGGGCCAGAGGTGGGGCTAGCAGTTTGACGACAGCGTGACAGCGATGCTCTGAGATGTGGCCATGGCCTCTGCCCTATTCTGGCCCCTAACATTTCCCCATTTCCATGGCAATGCCTGGCACATAATCCCAGCCCTTTCTTGCAGAACCGTAGTGAGCCATTCATTCACTTATCAGCTCTTGAAGGAGGGCTCCGGCGCAGCCCTGGCCCAGGCCCAGAGCTGAGGGGCCTCAGGGGCCAAGGACAGGAAGGCTTCTGGACCACTGCGCCGGCTCAGCGCCTTTCCTTCCTGTGTACACCATCTCTACTTGCATGTCCTCAAGGGCAGCGAGGTTCCACCCACCCAGCACAGTCCCCACCTGCAAGTCAGACTGGAAGAAGCCTAGCCTCCCCGCTGTCCACTGTCACCCCACTCTTCAAGGCCTAGCCACTGCTCCCACACCTGTCCTTACTCAGGCTCTGCTCCAGTGCAGAAGAAGGCAGGGAACCAGCAGAGCTGACATGTCCATTGTAGGTGTTGGGGTTGGACTGGGTGTGAAGGACCCGGAGGCCACTGGACTCCTCCAGGGAGGGTGTGAATCCTGGGTGGCTGAGACCCTTAGGCTTCAGGGAGAGTACCGGGCCCTGTCAAAGGTTCAGCTGGATTGGATTTACATGGGAAGAGCCTGGTGGCTGGTGCCCAGTGGTTGAGGTTCCCAGCTCCGGGGGAGCTCAGTAGCTACCTGGTCATGACAGGGCCAGGCAGTCACACAGCACCAGGAAGCCTCCTATGTACCATGGCCTAGAGATGGTCTGGGCTGTGAGCTGGCAAGGGGTCAGCTGCCCGTGGCTCTGCCCAGTCTCAGACACATAGGGTGTGATATCCACCCAAACCAGGCTGGTGACTAAGAGGGCCCCAGGATCCACATGTGTCTTGATCCTGTGTCTCTGTGTAGGGTCAGGCACCCTCCTGCCTTTCTGAGTATATGATGGGGGGGGCATGACCACGATCACTCATTTTTTTCCTTGTCTGGGACTGGTCACCACCGACAGCTCCTCATGGTCTCCAGTGACACTGATGTCCAATCAGAGGCCACACAGCCAGCCATGTCCACTTGGCCTGCTCTGCAGCAAGGGCACTCTCCACAGCTGACCAGGACCTGCCTTGACTTTGATCAGCCTAGGGGTCCAGCGCTAAGGCCAACTGCAGGTCTGCCAGGGTTGGGGGTGGTTACACATCTAGTCCCCAGCCTTCCCAGCCATCTTTAACTCACTAACACATTTATCTGCTTACTCATTCACTAACTTGTTTATTCATTGATTCACCCACTCGTGTCCCCCTCCCTCTTTCATGGTTTTCCCTGTTCCCCACACTCCTGAGATGTGTGAAATGTGCCTCTCAGGCGTTGGGAACGAGGCATGGCATAAGCACGGGGCAGTACAGAGCCAGAGGACCAGATAATCAGGATAGGCTTGGAACATACCCCAGGAAAGCCTGAAGCAACCAGAATTCAGAGGTATGTCTTTCTTCGACCTCTGACCTCTCCCTAGCAGGGAATGACCAGACCCCCTTCTTCTACCGATACCCTCCCTTGGTAGGGTCCCCCACTCTGTCCTACCTCGTAGGTAATAATGAAGCTGCTAACATTGGCTCAGGGAGTGTGGCTATCTGGGAGGGAGCATCCACCCTGGGTCCTGGTGGTTTCAGACAGATGAGGCCCAGTACCACATACCCTGGCCTAGGCAAGAGCCCATGTATGATAGTGCTTCTCGCCTGGGCATCAGGACAAGAGTGAAGGGGGGGGGCTCTTCTGGGAAAGGTCAGTAAGCATCTTTCCAGCCCACTGGGCACCAAATGCTCTAGTTTCCAGTAGCTAGAAACACCAGTGGGTAGAACCCACTTAGGCCTTGGAGCCTGAAGTGTTGTCTGGGTCTTGGGCAGCATGGAGCTGGACCTTGCCCTGGGGACAGGGGGCTCTGTTGTTTGTTTGGGGGCTGATGCCCACAAAGTTACTCTCTAGGGAGACGGAGGTGACTGGCCAGGCCAAGCACCAGGATGGTCCCAAAGGCAGCATTTGGTCAGCCTTGATGATCTCGTGTCTCCTTGAAGCACCAGGAACTCGTGAATTAGAGGGTGGCCTGAGGAAGTCCTAGTGGGGGCTGCATGGGGAAGACTTCACAGGCAGGACCTGGGGAACATTGGGGAGACTAGGCACCACCCACAAGACACGCCCATCTCTGACTGCCACTTCTGACCAGCCTGGAGTGATTGAGTGCCCACTGTTTACCTGGGTGAGGGGAACCACAGGCCTGCTCCGCCCACCCACGTGAAGCCACTGGGGCTGGAGCCAGGTCTGGGGCTACAAAAGGCTGATGGTGACTCCAGTCCCTCCTCAGAGGCTGCCAGTGGGGACACTTCCCCATGCTCTACAGCATGGGTGTTGGCCAGAGGAAGCCGGCCCTGCTCTGGGCCCTGGTCCTGGCCCTGGCCTGTGCCCAGCACACAGGTAGGCATCAAACTGGCTTTTCTAAGCCATTTATGGAGCCACTGCCATTCCCCCAAGCCCTTGGGTGGCCTTGGTCTCAGGGGGACAGCGAAGCTCCGTCATTCCTCTGGGTCCTGGCAGGATAAGAGGGTCTGTAGGGGATTCTGCTATGCAGCCCCTGCCTGAGGCCTGACCACCTCAGTCTCTGACTCAAGGGGTAGGGAGGGAGCCCTGATGTGCAAGGTTTCTGGGGCCGGACGTTCAGTATGGTGGGGAAGCAAGAGGCAATGTCTCAGAGCCCCCTCCAACATGGTCAGGGCAGGCTCTTAGCCCCTCATATGTCCCATTTATGCCCAATTCACTTGCTCATGACCCTCTCTGGCCAGTCATGGCCTCATAAGAAACCATGGACTTCAGATGCCTTAGGGCAGCAGAGTGGTCTATGGCTTCTCTCAGCCTGGCCCAAGGACCCGAGTAACAGATGCATGAACCAGGAAGGTAGACTTGGAATGCCAGCCAGTCGTAGCTTAGCCCAAACCCTCCTATGTAGCATAGGGGTGAGTCAGGCACTTCCCAACAGCACTGGCTTTGTGCATCAGGCCATTGACTAGTGACACATTATGTCTCTCCCTCCATTTGTACACCTGGTGGCCAGCGGCCTGGCTGCCTGAGGCACCCTGTTCTGCTCCCAGCTCAGGTCCATCTCCTCTTCTGCAGGCCAGGCCCAGCAGGACATTCTGAAAACTGACTCTGGGCACCATTCTGACCTCTCTCTCCAAGGGCATGGCGGTGAGTCTTAACTGTCTATCTCCTACACCTGGCAGATCCCTTGACCCTACCCTAGTGTGACCCAGGGTTCCTCTAGGCTTTCTGTCTTAGTGGGGCCACAGCTAGCCACTACGAAGGGGTCAGAACTTGGGGCTGGAGCACACCCCAGGGTACATGGTTCTAGTCAGTCTCCTGTTCCTCCCTGATCCAGCCCCATGGACGGGGTCATAGGCATCAAGGCGCAGGCTCTGGAGGGAGCTGCAGAGAGGCTGACAGGCTGCCTGGGCTGTGTCCCCTGAATGGTCGGCTCAGCTGTGTGGACAGCTCTCCTGTCTCCCTCTCTCCCTGTTTAACTTCCCTATTTCAGCCGCACATTCACCTCCGGGCCCTGACCCCAGGGACTGGAGAGTTGGCCACATATGCCAAAGCAAGAATTCTTGTGGGGCCCCTGCGTTTGCATTTCTACAGACTGGCTGAACAGGCTGGGATCCGCAAGACTATGAGTTGCTGATATAGGTTTCAGGCGTTTGTGAAGTTCGGAATTCAAGCCCCCATTTGCAAATAGAGATTCTGGACTTTGTGAGTCCAGAGGGCTGACCGCCCCAGGATTCTCTAGGCAACAGTGAGAGAAAAGAATATGGGATGTAGATCTTCAGGGTGGGCTAAGCCCCAACTGGGCCTCAGCAGGCAGTCGCACCCACACTATGCTGGGGACCTGGGAGTCTGCACCTGCCGGCCCTGGGTCCTGAGCCTCTTCCTCTGGGCCCCGGGGCCCCCCCAACCTTTCCTGAGGCTGTGTGCGTCCCATGAGCCAAGCCCCTGTCTCCACAGGTGCCCCAGTCCATGGGGTGACCATCATCCCACCTCTGAGGACCATCCCTGTGGTACGAGGTGAGTGAACCCTAAAACCCACTGGGACAGAGGCCTGGCTTTGCTGGAGTGCTCTCCCTTAGACCTGAAAGCAGGTTGGAAAGGGGTCCCCCTTTCAGGCTGACGATAAATATCAGAATTGTGGGAGGTGTATTCAAAGCTGCTATACACAGTCCAGGGACTTCCTGAGTCAGACAGGACCCCAGATGCCCACCACGGGCAGCAGCCTGTCTGGTTCCCAGCGGTGTGTGTAAAAAGGATGCTCAATGGGAAAGACAGCACGGATGGGCATATCATGGTTCCAGGGACTGGGACCGTGCCTCCAAAGGCCGCCATTGCTTTGGCCCACAGCCCTAAACCCAGCACATACTGGACGGGTGTGCAGCACGTGGGGCGACTTCCACTATAAGACCTTCGACGGCCAGGTCTTCCGCTTCCCCGGCCTCTGCAACTATGTGTTCTCTGCGCACTGCGGTGCCGCCTATGAAGACTTCAACATCCAGCTGCGTCGTGGCCAGGAGTCCAGTGCCGCCATTCTGAGCAGGGTCATCATGAAGCTTGACGGCCTGGTGGTCAAGCTGACCAAGAGCTCTGTTCTAGTCAATGATCACCCGTGAGTCTGCGGCAGTGCTGGGCGGGTAATGGAGTTACTGGGCGGTAAGGGAAAGTAAGTGCATCAGGGTTGTGGGAGATGCTGGGGCGGTTGACAAAGTCATCCACCCCTCAGGAAGGAGCTGGCAGGCACTCCCTGGCCCTGTGCTCCAGCCGCCCCTTCCCAGCTCCTCTGTGACACTAGCACTCCAGACCCACGTAGTCCCTATCACACACATGGCTGCAGGGATCGTTCCACCTGGGGCCTCTCTCCTCAGTACCTCAGCCTGACCCTCTTTGACAGGGTCCAGCTGCCCTTCAGCCAGTCTGGAGTCCTCATTGAACTCAACAGTGGCTACCTAAAGGTCGTGGCCAGGCTGGGCCTGGTTTTCGTGTGGAACAATGACGGTAGTCTCCTGGTGAGAAGGAGTGGCATCTCTGGGTGGCAGAAAGGGGAGGGCAGAGCCTCCTGGTAAAACAGGGTGAGAGGTGGTACCTTCTGGTAAGGACGGGGGTGGGTGGGCCCTCCTGGTTAGGACAGGGAGGCACAGGCCTCTAGCCTTTCAGGACTCCATACCACACAGCTGGGGAAGGTGAGCAGCCAGACACCAACCAAACCCCAGGGTCACCCCCACCAGACAGAGGTCCCGTGCATGTGGGGTGTCTCTTTCAACCCCACTTGAAGTCACAGCTTCATGCAGCTTGTGGGGAGGGTCTTGTGGCTTGTGTCCCCTCTGGGAGCTCCCACTCTCTTCTGAAAGAGAATCTGGCTTTCAAGTTCTGGGGTATTCATGGCAGGGATGACTGGTGTCTCCTCCAATTTCAGCTGGAGTTGGACACCAAATACACCAACAAGACCTGTGGGCTCTGCGGAGACTTCAATGGCAGCCCAGACTCCAATGAGTTTCTCTCCCATGGTAATGCCCTTGTGTCTGCCTGCCCCTTCCAGAACCCCAGGAGGCTCTACCGCCCAGTATTCCAAATTATTTGTCTCCACGGTGTGTGCACACCAACACACTGCCACATACATGTATGTGCCTCCTGCACACATAAGCACATACCTACACATAGACTTTCCTTCCAACTCCAGCTCTCACACATATGTACACAGACGTATCTGCACATACTCCGTGTACACACACACGCACCTGGCATAATGGTATGCCAGTTGCATTGCACAAGGGCAGTAAGTTGCCTGTCAGACCGCCTGTCCTCCCCTGGCATCAGGCCTCCTCCTTGGCCCTGGGAGAGTCAACTTCCTTTACCACCAAGCAGTGGCAATCGTAAAAGTAACTGTACCAGTCAGATCCCCTGATCACCCCTCCCTCCAGTCCCACTATGTTCCATACAAATTATGGGTGACAGAGCCTGCCCATGCATCTAGCTGTCTCTCCCAGGGTCAGCCAAGCTTGGAGAGCTGGTGGGGAGTCAGGTTCACTCTGCAGTCCTCTGGGCCACATCATAGCCTGGTCAACAGGACCAAGGGCCCTGTATCTTGATAGACCTCTGTCTTCACCTCCTGCAGCTCTAGGAACCCTAGGCTCTTTCTGGGCCCCTCACATGACTTTCAGATGCTCGAGTGTCCCAGGAAGTGAGACCAGGGAGGCCAGGTGGAGTTTGCAGGACTAGGTACCTGAAAGTCCTCAGCAGGGAGCCCTTGGCACTTGACTGCCAGGATGCTGGGTGGGGGCCAGGAACCCACAGGTAGAGCTGCTTCGGGCTTTCTGCAGATGTCAGGCTGACACCCCTGGAGTTTGGGAACCTGCAGAAGATGGACGGCCCCACAGAGCAGTGCCAAGACCCCCTCCCCATGCCCCAGAAGAACTGCTCCACCAGCTTTGTGAGCCTAGCGGGAGACGGGCAGGGCAGGGTGGGGAGGAAGGAGGTGGGTGCTGGGATCGCACAGGTGCCCCTGGGAAGCCTGGGGTCTGGAGTAGGCATGAGCTCCTTGCTCGTTCAGGGCATCTGCGAGGAGATGCTGAGAAGCCAGCTGTTCTCCGAATGCGGGGACCTGGTAGACGTCAGCAGCTACGTGGAGGCCTGCCGGCAGGACCTCTGCCTTTGTGAGAGAACCGACCTGTCCAGCTGCATCTGCGACACCCTGGCCGAATACTCTCGGCAGTGTGCCCATGCCGGTGGACTGCCCCAGGACTGGCGGAGTCCTGACCTCTGCCGTGAGTGCCCTGAGCCCCGCCTGCCCACCATCATAGCATCGTCCAGCAGGGAAGGGGGACCTGGCATGATGCGAACTGCCTTCCTGGTCTCCTTGCAGCCCAGATGTGCCCCTTCAACATGCAACACCAGGAGTGTGGCTCACCCTGCGTGGACACCTGCTCCAACCCCCAGCGCTCCCAAGTCTGTGAAGACCACTGTGTTGCCGGCTGCTTCTGTCCCAAAGGTGAGATGGACTCCCCACCGCCCCGCCACCACCTGCAAAGCCCAGCACAGGAACTCTGAAGCACACAGTTACATTCTGGGTGCCAGGTGGCCATGCCACTGCTGGGCCTTGGTGAAAGACTCCTATGATCCTGACCCAAAGCGTACCTAGGATGCTGATGCTGGCTGAGACCCTCAGCTGGCACCTGTCACGTGGGTCTGCTTTCTACAGGTATGGTACTTGATGACATCAACCAGACTGGCTGTGTCCCTGTATCTCAATGTGCCTGCCTGTACAATGGGACATCTTACACACCGGGTAGCAATTTCTCTACTGACTGCACCAAGTGGTAGGTTCTGGGATCCTTATCTAGGACCCTGGTATGTGCCAGGGAGGCTGCTCCAGGATCTGTGTGTGGTTAGGTTAGGTTCCAGGCAGCTGCAGCCAGCCCTGCATGGGCAGGAGCCCTTGGTCTAGGCAGGGGAAACAGCAGGACAATTGCTCCTGGGACCGGTATACAGATGACTTTCCTCTTGTTTCCCACAGCACCTGCTCTGGAGGCAGGTGGAGCTGCCAGGAAGTCCCATGCCCAGGCACCTGCTCGGTGCTGGGAGGCTCCCACTTCTCCACATTTGATGAGAGGGAGTACACAGTACATGGGGACTGTAGCTATGTGTTGACCAAGGTAAAGCCTGTGCTACTCCAGGGGCTTTGATTTTGGGGGATGCATGGGGTCATGGGCTTCCCCAGGAATCACCAGCCTAGGCCACTGTACTTTACTTTTTTAGAAGAGTTCTAAGTCTACAAATAAATTAAGCAGACACCCAGAGAATTCCCAAGCCCTGCCATCCCCGGCTGCGTTTCCCATATTAGCATCTCGCCTTAGCGTGGTGCATTTGTTACAACTGATGAGGCAAAACTCACAGCCGTCACCACTCAGCATCCCACTGTACTTCAGGGCCACTCACAAGCGTTCCCTGGGATCTGACAAATGTGGAATGTCCTCTGTCAGTCACCTCATTATCACACAGTGGTGTCGCTGTGCTCATTGTGAGTGCCACCTGCCCACCCCCGTCCCTTCATTGAAATCCTCTGATTTTTTAGAATTGTTTTTTGAAAAATATTTTAAATTTGTTTCTAAAAAATCATACAGGTACACCATGTATTTTGATCACAGGCATCCCCTCTCCCACCTCCAACTCCCCTAATTCCCTTCAGGACCCCTACCAACATTTCTTCCTCCCAAATACATGTCCTGCTTTTATTTTCATTAAAACATATTTTATTTATTATTTTTATTTTATGTATATGAAATAAACATGTGTGTAAGTGCACCCATGTTGTGCAATGCCCGTGGAGGTCAGAAGAAGGTGCTGGATTCCCCCAGAACTGGAGGAGTTACAGATGGCTGTCAGCTGCCATGTGGGTGCTGGGAATTGAACTCGGGTCCTCTGCAAGAGCAACCAGTGCTCTTAACTGCTGAGCCGTCTCTCCAGCCCCTTATTTTCTTTTAAAATAGCCCACTGAGCCAGGTGTAGTTGCACATGCCTTTAATTCCAACACTCAGGAGGCAGAGGCAGGAGGCCAGCCTGGTCTACATAGGTAGTTCCAGGCTACATTTGGGGCTACAGGGAGACCCTGTCTCAAAACAAAAACAACAGCAAAAATCCACTGAATCCAGTTAGTGCTGCCCATATACCCACAGGTGTAGGGCCATTCACGGGAGCATGGGTAGCCTACCAGTAGTCACCCCCCAAAGTGACTCTCCCTTCCCCAGCCATCAGCAGCCAAGTGCTCCTCAGCTAGGGGTGGGGCCTCCAGATCCCCTCCCCTGTCCATATGCTGACCACCTCTCTAGCTGGGTATTTCCCTCATTTAGGTGAAATCATTCTGCTATTTTCTCAGAATTCTTTCACTCAGTAGATGCATTGAGTTCCCTCGACAGGGGGCCAGGGAACTCATGGGCTGAGCCCCTGGGAGCATCTTCCTCCTGAGATTGAATGACTGCTCCAGGATGGCTGTGGGCTAGGAATTCCCAGCAAGAGGAAATAGGATGGGCTGGAGGAGAGAAAGGGCAAGGTGGGCAGGAGGTTGGGCAGGTGTGAGGACCCGCTTCACTCCCCTCCGCCCCGGCAGCCCTGTGACAGCAAGGCTTTCACCGTGTTGGCTGAGCTGCGTAAGTGTGGACTGACGGACAGCGAGACTTGCCTAAAGAGTGTGACGCTGAGCCTGGATGGGGGGCAGATGGTGAGTGTCACAGGTGGGGTTGAGGGGAGCTCTAGCAGGGGCAGGTCCTGGGAGGAGGAAAGAGTGTGCACATGGCCTGTCACCTCTGTCCATTTCCTGGGACCACATCCTGTGAGAGCCCATTGCCTGTATCCATTACTTGTGGGTCTCTCTAGGGCTCTGTCTAAGTGGAACAGCTCAGGGGTTGGGCCTCCATGCCTCTCCTACTCAGCCCCAAGGAAGAAGGCTCAAGTATCTCTGGCTAGCACAACTTCTTCATTGAAGTTGATTTTTAATAAATTAATTTTAGTTTTTACATTACTAATAAATATAAATGATTCTCTTGAAAGGTCAGAAAATCAAGATGAGCATGGGGGTAGACCATGGGGTATCAGCTCATCCCATGGGGACAACAGTCCTATATGTAGCCCAAGGTATTCCAGTCTGGGCATGCACACGTCACAGCCTATGTGGGCTGCCAGGGAACAGTGAGTCCCTGCCTCAGCTCCATGTAGACCCATTGACTCTGGGACTGCTTCTAGGTGGTTGTGGTGAAAGCCAGTGGAGAAGTCTTTGTGAACCAGATCTATACCCAGCTGCCGGTGTCTACAGGTGAGGGCTGCTTGTGGGTCTCAGTTGGGACTCTCCTTCACCTGGGGTCACATACCTCACTGAAATTCTCATCCTCTGGTCATAGCCAATGTTACTCTCTTTCGGCCGTCAACCTTCTTCATCATCACCCAGACCCACCTGGGCCTGCAGCTGGAGGTCCAGCTGGTACCCACCATGCAGGTGTTTGTGCGCCTGGCACCGGAACTCCGGGGGCTGACCTGTGGTAAGAGGCACTGACTCTGATTTAAGCCCATCTCATCCCAGACCACACATGGGGCCTCAACGTGCACCCCTGTCCCCAGGTCTCTGTGGGAACTTCAACAGCATCCAGGCCGATGATTTCCAGACCATCAGTGGGGTTGTGGAGGGCACTGCTGCCGCCTTCTTCAACACCTTCAAGACCCAGGCTGCTTGTTCCAATGTCAAGAATATCTTTGAGGACCCCTGCTCTCTCAGCGTGGAGAACGGTATGTGTAGCCATTGGTCCATGTTCTGCTGGCTGCTCAGGGGTTGGCTGGTTCACCTGCTTCCATTTATGAACTGGTCATTTTCTCCAAGAAACATTTGCTCAGAAACTCTGACCCTGGCCTGAGGTCTAGCTTTCTACTCTAAAGTGGTGAGGAGGTAAACTAGAGCATACTGTATGCCATGTAACATTACAAGTGGGTGTGGCTGCTTCAGGGAAGCATGGAGGCCAGCATCCATGCCTATCAGCTGGACATGAGGGACGACTAGGACTGATTCAGAGATGGCCAGGACAGAGTCACAGGCACTTGATCTGTTGTCATCGTGTCTACAGATGAAGCATCGTGTTGCATGTTGTGGGCCCTCCTTTGACTCCAGTGTACTTGTGACACTGTCCAGCCCTCTCGAGCTGCACTGACAGAGATAGGGTTTGGTCTCAACTGATTCTGCCTCTTCCTCTCCCTCTTTCGATCCAGAGGTCTTAGCTCGTTGTTCATGGTGATGGCTACTCACATCCCTAGGAGGCGAGGGCACTGGGGACATAGAAGAGGAGATGAATAAGGCCTATAGTTTCTCCATGTCCCATGTATGTTGCGATGACACCACAGGTGTCATCTGCTTTGTGACTAAGAGTCCGTGATGTCTGTCTGCGCAGAGATGCCAGATGTCCCAAACTGAAGGTGGGAGAAACCCAGGGTTGGGCGGACGAGTAGCTGATGGCCTCCCTTCTATCCGCAGAGAAGTTCGCTCAGCACTGGTGCTCTCAACTGATTGATGCCAGTGGCCCATTTTCCAGGTGCCACACCACTGTGAGCCCCGGGACCTACTTTTCGGTAATGCCTGCTCACTAGGCACTAGGCTTCTCTCACTAGGATTATGACACTGCATTATGTGCCACCTCGTGAGAGGGTCAGAGGACGGGGCGATGGGCAACCTGAGAGGCAGCAGGGTTACTCGCTAAGTCTGTATCTCTGGGTCCCTGTTCCTTCATTCACGCACTGCATGTTCACTGAACACGCCTCTGCTCTGCACTGGGAACAGGGCTAAACTTGGAGGTTGAGGGGACAGAGTGTGCTGGGGCTAGACCTGGCAAATCCTAATGATAAAAGGCCACGGTCTTTCCAGAGTCTCTACCCTAGGGGGGAAACTGACGCCCTGTCAATCTCAATACCACAAGGTACTGGGGAAGGGTCCTGAGGAAGGTTGTGAAGGTGGGACAATGTTAGGATGGGGGAACCAGTCAGATGCCAGACTGGAGGTTCAGAGGACATTCATCATGTGTGGGATGGGGTTCCTGATGCTCCCCTCCCCCAGAACTGCATGTTCGACACGTGCAACTGCGAGAAGAGCGAAGACTGCATGTGTGCGGCCCTGTCCTCCTACGTGCGTGCCTGTGCCACCAAGGGCGTGCTGCTCAGCGGCTGGAGGGACGGCGTCTGCAGTGAGTGTGCTGTGGGAAAGCCAAGCACTCTCTCTCTCTCTGTGGGCCAGAGCCCCCACCTGCTACCTAGTGACTGAGCAGATATTCCAAGGGTTTTCCCCCACACCAATCTCTGAGGCTGAGGGTGACCCAGGCCATTGTGGCTCAGAGCCCTACTCAAGAGACTGTGTCTCAGGGAGCCAGAAAGCCCTTGAACTCCTAGGCTATCAGCGGCTGATTGCTGAACTATGTATCCACGGGTGTCCCAAGTGTCCTCTCGTCCTGCTCTTCCACAGCAAAGCCCACAACCACCTGCCCCAAGTCGATGACCTACCACTACCACATCAGTACCTGCCAACCCAGCTGCCGTGCTCTGAATGGGGAAGATGCCACCTGTCACGTCAACTTCATTCCTGTGGATGGCTGCATCTGCCCCACAGGCACCTTCTTGGATGATTCTGGCAAGTGTGTGCAAGCCACGAGTTGTCCCTGCTACCACAAGGGCTCCACAGTTCCCAATGGCGAGTCTGTGCATGACAACGGGGCTCTCTGGTAAGACATCTCCCCTCCCAGGCCAGGTGCGTTGGGTCCCAGGGATTCACAGGGCCCAGAGTGGGTGTTCTAACAGCACTTTGCTCACAGCACCTGTACCCAGGGGTCGTTGGCCTGCATTGGAAGCCCTGCCCCTACTCCAGGTAAGGCTGGGAAGGTACCTGTCAACTCTGGGAGAAAACTTCCAAAGTGGTGTCACCAGTGATGCCCATCCCACGTGAACATATCTGCAACTGATAATCAGTTTCTCTATGTCCAGAGTGGTTTGAACCTTTGGGCTCAGAAACAGAGAAGATGAGGGTGTGGGCACTGCGTGCACACCCTCATGAACACACCCAGTGAAGACCCAACTCAGACAGTTACATGCTTGCATACACTCCTGCACACACAGCACAGATGTGCACCCCTGCTCCACACGGAGGGCAGCCGCATGCTTGACTGTCTGGAAACATAAGAGTTGAGATGCTGAGCAGGTGGGTCCCTCTCTTCAAGCCTGGTAGGGAGCGGGTGGCATCCCTTGATTGGTCCCTCCATCCTCCAGTGTGTGACGCTCCCATGGTCTACTTCGACTGTCATAATACCACACCTGGGGACATCGGAGCTGGCTGTCAAAAGAGCTGTGACACCCTGGATATGACCTGTGTAAGTGCCCTGGTCACTCTCTAATGACTGTCCATAGGACTTTCTTGATGACCCCTCATTCCCCTGACCTCTCCCACTAAGGGTGGAGACCTGCAGGGCAGCTGAGCTCTCCAATGCAGAGGGCCCTCGGGGCAGCCTGGCTGGACTCTGTCCCCAGAGGTCCCCTGCTCACCCTATGGCTGGACTCCCTATTCTTGTGGCTCCTGTAGTCATGCAGACAAGGAGAACACGGCAGGCCCAACTGTCCCCATCTACCCCCACTTACCTGTGTCCACATGCCCTACAGTACAGCTCCGAGTGTGTGCCTGGCTGTGTGTGCCCTGATGGGCTGGTGACAGATGGCAATGGGCGCTGTGTTGCTGTTGAGGACTGTCCCTGTGTGCACAACGAGGGCGCCTACAGACGTGGGGAGGTCATCCGAGTGGGCTGCAATAACTGGTATGTGGGGGCGACAACAGAGGAGGAAGCAGGTGTCCACACTCTCACCAGGCCCCAGGTACAGAGGTCCTTGTTAGGAATGGACTGAGCGTCAGCATGACCCTGACAGACATATAGCACAGGCTTTCAAGGGACACCCTGGGAATATGTGTGCTCTGGTCTCCCACGAGGGGTCCCCACAGAGCCTCTGGGAAGGTCCTCATCCCTATGGGTGCCCTGGCCTGACCCCCTACCCTATACAGCACCTGTGAGAACAGAACGTGGAAGTGTACACATGAGCCTTGCCTGGCCACCTGTGCAGTGTACGGGGATGGCCACTACCTCACCTTCGATGGGCAGCGCTACAGCTTCAATGGAAACTGCGAGTACACGCTGTTGCAGGTATGTGGGGCTAGTGCAGGTATGCAGGGCTGGCAGCCTCACCCATAGCTACACATAGTCTGGTGGGAGCAGCTGCCCCAGGACATACCACCTCTCCCTGGCCCCAATGGCCTTCTGCTCCCCCAGGACCACTGTGGTGGTAACGGCAGCTCCCAGGATGCCTTCCGTGTTGTCATCGAGAACGTCCCGTGTGGTACCACAGGCACCACTTGCTCCAAGGACATCAAGATCTTCCTGAGGGTGATTGGAATGGGCTGGTGGGACACCCTGGGGGCGTGGTGGAGGGGGCAGGGCCATGACCAGGCCCTGAGGACTCCTTGTCACACAGAACTATGAGTTGAAGCTGAGCGATGGGAAGGTGGAGGTGGTCCAGAAGGGCGCGGGGCAGAAGTCCCCGTACTCCGTTCTCCAGATGGGCATCTACCTGGTGGTAGAAACAGATGTGGGCCTGATGCTGCTGTGGGACAGGAAGACCAGCATCTTCCTCAGACTCAGTCCTGAGTTCAAGGTGAGGCTGGGCTAGGGAAGCACTGCCATCACCCCCCTTAGGGACTGGGGCAGGCACATGGGGGTAGCCAGATGAACAAAGACAGAGAGAGAGCGAGACAGAGACACAGAGAGAGAGAAGAGATAAAGACAGGGATAAAGAGGTAGCGAGACAGAGAGTGACTTATAAAGAAATATAAAGGAAGAGAGAGAGAGAGAGAGAGAGAGAGAGAGAGAGAGAGAAACAGAAGGTCTAGGAGATGGCTCAGTAAAGTGCCTGCCACCAGGACTGATGACCTGAGTTCAAGCCCCAGATATGCATGGTGGAAGGAGGGAGCGTACTGCTGAGGGTTGTTCTGGGACCTCCAAGAGTGCACCGTGAACATTCTCTCTCTCCCTCTCTCCCCCTCTCTCTCGCTCTCGCTCTTGCTCTCTACTTCCTTTTCTCTCTTGAATTATTGTAATAAAAAATTTAAAAGACAGACAAGCAGGGGCAGAGAATGACAGAAGGGAGCAAAGACCGAGAAAAAGAACACAGAAATAGAGAGAGACGGCTCAGCGGTTAAGAGCACTGGCTGCTCTTGCAGAGGACCCGGGTTCGATTCCCAGCACCCACAAGATGGCTAACGACCATCCGTAATTCCAGTTCCAGGGGAATCCAATGCCCTCTTCTGACCTCCGTGGGCATTGCATGACATGGGTGCACTCATACACATACATTCATACACACAAAATAAAAATAATAAAATATTTAGAAAACCCCAAAATATACAGAGACATAGAGAAAGGGCAGAAAGGACCGAGATAAAGAGAGATGGAGGGGGTGGGATGGGAGGAACCTCCAGGGCAGCAGCGAGGGGACCCCTGGCTGTGAGTGTCCCACAGCTTCTGTAACAGCGACCACCAAGAGCGGCTGGTTCTCTGTTGGTTGTAGACATTAGAAGCCTAGCTGGAGCAGTGTGCCCTCAAGGTTTGGAAGCATCCTTCAGCCTCTGGGGTGCCAGGTGCTCTCGGCCTGTGCAGTTACACTGTCACTTGGCTCCCTGCCTGTGCCTATGTACACATTTTCTTCTTTAATAAGGACGCCAGATAAGGGATCCAGCACCCACCCTGCATAAGTGGGACTTCATCTTAACTTGACCACATCTTTAAAGGCTCTTTCCAATAAGTCCCCATGCACAGACTTCAGAGTTAGGAAGGGGGTAAATATGCAGCCACTGCCAGCCCGCCGCAGTGTTTGTGACTCCTCTCCAGACTCTGGGCTGGTCACCAGTGGCCCTATACTCACCCTGCAGAGTGACAGGCCTGACATCAAGGTCAAGTCACAGGGAGGAAGTGGGCTCATGACAGCGTGGAGGGAGAGGTTTTCTGAATTGCCAAGCTGGGGAGCTCACAGGCCTCCTGGCACAGGCAGGGGGTGTGGCCTGGAAACAGACACAGGAAGGGTACAAGTGGGCTGCCACCACTGGACACCACTGGGGGCTGCCTTCTAAGTCCACACTTCTTTTCGGGGCTGTCCTTCAGGAAGCTGGGGTGGAAATAGGGCTGAGAGGACGTCAGGAAGGGGTTCCGGCCCACACCTCCTAACCCCATGCTTCTGCAGGGTAAAGTCTGTGGCCTGTGTGGGAACTTTGATGACAACACCATCAACGACTTCACCACGCGGAGCCAGTCTGTGGTGGGTGATGTGCTGGAGTTCGGGAACAGCTGGAAGTTCTCTCCATCCTGCCCGGATGCTCTGGCACCCAAGGACCCCTGCACCGCTAACCCTTACCGCAAGTCCTGGGCCCAGAAGCAATGCAGCATCATCAACAGTGCCACCTTTGCGGCCTGCCATGCCCACGTACGGCAGGGCCGGGCGGGGTTGGGTGGTCTCTGGGCCCTGGGATGGAGAAGTCATCAACCAAGGGTGGCTGGGGCTCAAGGGCTCACCTGATGACCACAGTAGGCCGTTTTTTCAGGACGGTTAGCTCTGAACATGGCCTAAGAAAGTTCCAGGCAGCTGAGGTATGACTGGCCGAGGTCAGGGCCAGCTTACGGATGCTGTGATGAACCTGATTAGACATTCATGGTCGTGCACTTGCCCTGTGAGCTCTAGTGTGAACTGGCCCAAGTCACTACGTTGGCGTTTGTACTAAGAGCCCCGGGGGGAGGGGCTGACGTTCAAGAGCCTGAAGCCTTTGTCTCCACAGGTGGAACCTGCCAAGTACTATGAGGCCTGTGTGCATGATGCATGTGCCTGTGACTCGGGGGGTGACTGTGAGTGTTTCTGCACGGCTGTTGCTGCCTACGCCCAGGCCTGCCATGAAACGGGAGTGTGTGTGTCCTGGAGGACGCCAGACATCTGCCGTGAGTGGGGTTCTGTCTGTGGTCCTGAAAGGCAGACTGGGGATGAGACTCCTGGTCTTGAGTCCTGCTTAACACACAAGTACACACACACACGTACACACACACATACACACATGTACGCACACACGCACGCACACACACACACACCCCCACACACGCACACACACACACACGCACACACTCACATACACACACACACACATGTACGCACACATGCATGCACACACTCACACCCACACACACACACATGCATGCATGCATGCACGCATGCACACACAGAAACACTGTAGCCACCCAACAAGTATCTCCAGCAATGTTGGTTCTCAGGGCTGGGAACTGCAAGGGCTGTGCTAACATGTCTGCCACGAGTGCCCCAGTGGGGACCAGGGTTCCAGGTGGGAGAGGCCAGCTCTGTTTGTCTAGCTGGAGGCGCGGAAGGGCCAAAAGTTCCCAAAAGGAAGTGAAATGAACCTGAGTCAGAGGAGCTGCAGGAGGGAGTCTGGCCCCAGACAAGGTTCTGGGTTAAAGACGTCAGCACACCTCTTCTGCCCAGCACAGTGACGCCCTGGGGAGGAGGGTATAACTGGGGGCATTACTCTAGCTGGAGAGCCCCATTTGATGACAGCTCTTCTGGCACTCTCAGAAGCCTGGAAACCCTGACCTGAGCCACCCTCGCCCTCCCCACATCGCCCATGGGTTGGGGAATGACTTAGCAGATTCCGGGTATGAGTTAACCCCAACAATTCTCCCTGCCTCTCTAGCATTGTTCTGTGATTACTACAACCCCGAGGGCCAGTGTGAGTGGCACTACCAGCCGTGTGGGGCCCCCTGCATGCGCACCTGCCAGAACCGTGACGGACAGTGCCTACAAGACCTTCGTGGCCTTGAAGGTGGGTTAGAGGCTGACAGGGAAGGGCCTGACCTGGTTGAGTCCTTGAGATCTGAACTGGGTGCTATCGTGGGATCCATGGCCTGGGGTTTTCTCATGGGATCCTGGGTTGGTCTAGACTCTTCCTGACCCCATTAGGAGGCTTTATGGCTTCAACCTCAAGCACTAGTGTCTGAATGAGGCTGGGCATTGGGACAGACTTGGACCCTGGGGTGAGGGGGCAGGTAGTCTATGTGTCTGGGGCTTAGGGCTCTTGATTCACAGGCTGTTACCCCAAGTGCCCACCAACGGCTCCCATATTTGATGAGGACACGATGCAGTGTGTAGCCAGTTGTCTGAATCCCCTACCACGACCCTGCCGCATCAATGGAAAGTTGTATGGACTGGGGAAAACCGTGCCTTCCGAGAAGAACTGTTACTCTTGGTGAGTCATTCAGTCAGAGGGGTGGAGGCTGAAGCACTCGGGGGGAATCCAAGTCCACCCTATCCATAACACCAGCCTGGGGTCCAGAGGGTGCCCTTATTCTGAGGTTGAGTTAGGAGGGTTCCTGAGGGAGGGTTCAGCTACAAGGAAAGATACCTCTGGCCTGAGACTAACCTGGGAGAGAGAATGCCCTTGGTTTGGGGCTCAGCTGGGAGAGAGGGCAACCCTGACTTGACGTTTAGATAGAAGGGAGGGTACCTTTGTCCTAATATCCAGCTGTGTGTGAGTGTGCCCTCAGCCACGATGCCCTTTCTGAGACCAGAGGACGATGCCATCAGAGTCCACCCTGCCTCTGTTGGACATTGACGGGAGCAATGTTTTAGAGAGTGTAACATGGGGTGAGGGGGGGCTAATCTTGAAAGGCCGAGGACTAGGACTTGGTCAGGGCCTCTGTCTTCAGCCTGCGGTTTGACATGGCTGCCCCATCACTGGCACTCAGCAGTGGGTACCCAGCAGAGGCAGATGCTGGTCCCCATGTGCCCAGCCCTGCTTCTTTTCTTGGCAGCGTTTGTATGGAGAATGGTGTGCGCTGTACCTATGATGCCAGCGGTGAGCACCTGCAGAGCCTCCTCTGGGGTGGGGGCTGGGATGTCACTGCTGGTGCCTCGGCATCCTAACGGGCTTGGTATCTGCTCCCCACAGCCTGTGTCTGCACATACAATGGACAGCACTTCCATCCTGGGGACCTCATCTACCACACCACAGACGGCATCGGTGGCTGCATGTCCGCACACTGCGGGGCCAATGGTACCGTCACGAGGGATACTAGCATATGCAGCCCGACCACCCCCTCGCCCCTGACCACCTTCTCCTTCTCCACTATTGGTAAGACAGATGAGCTGGAGGCAGGGAATGCTGGGCTTCCCTGGGGGTATCACTGTCCCTGCTGACTGGCAACTTCTCCTGCTGGATGCCAGGTTAACAGTTAGCTGTGGGCATTGGCGGGCAGCCCCTGCGGGTTAGGAAGGGGCCCAGAAGCTGGGCTTCAGGCACAAGGGTAGTCTCCCTGACCCATCCTGATGTCCTCAGTTCAGCTACTTGTGACTGCTGGGCCTGGCCTGACGAGAGTGTGGGACTTAGTGCAAGGCCCCAAGCACAGATGGCCCTCAGCAAGCTGTTTTCACAGTTCATAGCTGCCTGCTTGCTTTACACCACATGGCACCAGGAATCTTCGAAGTCTTGCCTTTCTGGACGGTCATTTAGGGCTCATGGAGTGTCTTCAGAGCCTCCCCAAACTCTGGCTTTTAGGGGCATAAAAATGTAGCTTTTGCTTGGGGTCTGGCAGATTCCCTTTAAAGGACATTGATTTGCCTGTTCACTGACTATTCTACTTCTGCCAGTTACCAGGCAGATGACAGATGTGGCTCTAGTGTTCAGTTTTCAATATTGGTCCAGCCTCAGTGGTGAGACCTGCCAGGCAGTTGGTAGGAGAGCAGGGATGGGGTAACCAGGGCCCAGGGAGGCAGCCCCAAGGCCAGGCCCTAACAGTCAGTCCCACCACCTCTGTCTACAGTCATGACTGCAATGCCACCTTCCAGTACCCCCGCCAGCCCCATGCTGAGCACAACGCACACGGGGCCCCCAAGCCGGGCTGCCTCAACGGTCAGCAGCACGTCCCCCACAAAGATGCCTGCCACAGCCTCCGTCTTAACCGCGCCAGGCTGCGGGGAGGAGTGCTCCTGGTCACCCTGGATGGATGTCGGCCGTCCAAGATGGGGCACTGACAGCGGTGACTTTGACGCTCTGGAGAATCTCCGTGCCCGTGGCTACCACATCTGCCCAGCGCCGAGTGCAGCGGAATGCCGTGCTGAGGACACCCCTGTGGCGCCTCTTCACGTGCTGGGGCAGCGGGTGGAGTGCAGCCCAGCTGTGGGGCTGACCTGTCATGACAGGGACCAGGAGTCAGGGCTCTGTGAGAACTACCAGATCAGAATTCAGTGCTGTACTCCCATTAACTGTACCACCTCCAGGGGTCCTGCCCAGACCACCCATCTAACGACCTCCAGGACAACAAGAAAGGCCATAGACTCACAGGGGCCATCCACAACCGCCTCAGCTCCGGTTACCACAACTGGCCCTGCGGTTAGCACACCAGGCCCAGTTTCCTTCACCCATGTCCTAGGTTCTACCTCATCACAGGCTCTGGGTCCCTCTACCCCTGCCCCTAACACTGTTCAAACAGCTCTGTCCACCACTAGTCCAAAGCCAGTGTCAACAACCTCAGTCACATCCCCTGTGTCCATCTCAACCCCAGGGTCCACTGTGACTGCTTTTGAGACGGCCCAGGGCTGCAAAAAGGAGGTTTGTAGCTGGACTGACTGGATGGACGGCAGCTACCCCGGGCCTGACAGAAACAGTGGGGATTTTGACACGTTTGTAAATCTGAGATCTAAAGGATACAAGTTCTGTGAGAAACCCAAAAACGTGCAGTGCAGGGCCCAGTTCTTTCCAAACATACCACTGGACGAGCTGGGGCAGGATGTGACCTGCAGTCCAGAGGTGGGGCTGATCTGTCTGAACAAGAACCAGCTGCCACCCGTATGTTACAACTATCAGATAAGCATAGAATGCTGCGAGGACGTGGACCTGTGCTCTACCATGATGGGCACCACACGCCCAATGAAAGCACAGACACACAGTGCCACCGGTGCACACTCGGCTTCTGCCAGACACACCACCACCCACTCGGTAGCCACACATTCACAAACCTCAGTCACGGTCACCAAAAACACAGGCACCCAACCTGTGAAGACCAACTGCCAGCCGGAGTGCTCCTGGACCCCGTGGTTTGACACAGACTTCCCGGTCCCTGGCCCATACGGTGGGGACATGGAGACCTACAGCAATATCCTGAGGAGGGGAGAGAGGATCTGCCACCGTCCCGAGGAGATCACGCAGGTGGAGTGCAGGGCCGAGAACCACCCTGACGTGAGGCTGGAGGACCTGGGCCAGGTGGTGCAGTGTGACGCCAGCCTGGGCCTGGTGTGCAGGAACCAAGACCAGCGGGGCACGCCCCAGATGTGCCTCAACTATCAGGTGCGTGTGTTGTGCTGCCGCACCCCTGACGGCTGCCCACGGGTGACATCCGCCACCTTTTCCAGCACACCAAGTGAGACTGTCACCAGCTCTGCCACCAGCACGGCTTCTGGGCACAGAGTCAGCACCCAGTCCACACCTCAAACCAAGACAACCTCTGTGCACACAGCCAGCACCACCTCGACCCTCCACACAGGTACATCCTCTGTAACACCCAGTACAGTATCCACAAAGGAAACTGGTACAACCTCTGTGCAGACACATAGTACAAGATCCATACGGAAAACTAACACCAGCTCTGTGCAGACAGCCAGCAGCACCTCCAAACCAGCCTCTACAGAAAAACCCAGCACCAGCTCTGTGCAGACAACCAGCACCACCTCCAAACCAGCCCCTACAGAAAAACCCAGCACCACCTCTGTGCAGACAGCCAGCAGCACCTCCAAACCCCAAACCAGCACAGCCTCGACAGGTAAAACCAGGACCACCTCTGTGCAGACAACCAGCACCACCTCCAAACCAGCCTCTACAGAAAAACCCAGCACCACCTCTGTGCAGACAGCCAGCACCACCTCCAAACCAGCCTCTACAGAAAAACCCAGCACCAGCTCTGTGCAGACAACCAGCACCACCTCCAAACCAGCCCCTACAGAAAAACCCAGCACCAGCTCTGTGCAGACAGCCAGCACCACCTCCAAACCAGCCTCTACAGAAAAACCCAGCACCAGCTCTGTGCAGACACCCAGCACCACCTCCAAACCCCAAACCAGCACAGCCTCTACAGGAAAACCCAGCACCACCTCTGGGCTGACACCTAGCACCACTTTGGCCCCTCAGACCAGCACAGCCACTACAGGAAAACCCAGGACTACCTCTGTGCAGACAGCCAGCAGCACCTCCAAAACCCAAACCAGCACAGCCTCTGCAGGTAAAACCAACACCACCTCTAGGCTGACACGCAGTACCACCTCTACTCCCCAAACCAGTCCAGCCTCTACAGGAAAAACTAGCCCTACCTCTAGGCTGATGCCCACTACTACCTCTACTCCCCAAACCAGAATCACCTCTGCAGTACACAGTACAATATCCTCAAGTGAAACCTTCTCTGTGCAGACAGCCAGCACCACCTCCAAACCCCAAACCAGCACAGCCTCTGCAGGTAAAACCAGCACCACCTCTAGGCTGACACACAGTACTACCTCTACCCCACAAACCAGCACCTCCGCTGCAGTACACAGTACAAGATCCTCAAGGGAAAGCAGCTCTGTGCAGACAGCCAGCACATCCATCCCCCGAACCGTCTCTGTCCCTGGATCCAGCAGCACTTTGGTTTCTACCAGGATCACAGACCATGGGTCTACTCCAGGTCCAACTTCTTCACCAACCAGCACTCACTGCCAGCCAGAGTGCTCCTGGACTCCGTGGTTTGACACAGACTTCCCGGTCCCTGGCCCATATGGTGGGGACATGGAGACCTACAACAATATCCTGAGGAAGGGAGAGAGGATCTGTCACCGTCCTGAGGAGATCACGCAGGTGGAGTGCAGAGCCGAGAACCACCCTGACGTGAGGCTGGAGGACCTGGGCCAGGTGGTGCAGTGTGACGCCAGCCTGGGCCTGGTGTGCAGGAACCAAGACCAGCGGGGCACGCCCCAGATGTGCCTCAACTATCAGGTGCGTGTGCTGTGCTGCCGCACCCCTGATGTCTGTCCTGAGACGTATGGAACGCCCCCGGTGACCTCTTCGCATGTGACCTCATCACCTGTTCTGTCTCCCCCGAGCTCATCCCCAACCTGGTCATCTAGCTCTGTGACTCACTCCAGCCTCCCCTGCTTGTGCCATGTAGGAGGCCACCTCTACCCTGTAGGTAAGCTCATCATCCCTTTAGGATTGCCTGGATTCTGTGCAGACACATAGTACAAGATCCATACGGAAAACTAGCACCAGCTCTGTGCAGACAGCCAGCACCACCTCCAAACCAGTCCCTACAGAAAAACCCAGCACCACCTCTGTGCAGACAGCCAGCACCACCTCCAAACCCCAAACCAGCACAGCCTCGACAGGTAAAACCAGCACCACCTCCAAACCAGCCTCTACAGAAAAACCCAGCACCAGCTCTCTGCAGACAGCCAGCACCACCTCCAAACCCCAAACCAGCACAGCCTCGACAGGTAAAACCAGCACCACCTCCAAACCAGCCCCTACAGAAAAACCCAGCACCACCTCTGTGCAGACACCCAGCACCACCTCCCAACCAGCCTCTACCGAAACCAGCCTCTACAGAAAAACCCAGCACCAGCTCTGTGCAAACAGCCAGCACCACCTACAAACCCCAAACCAGCACAGCCTTGACAGGTAAAACCAGCACCACCTCTAGGCTGACACGCAGTACCACCTCTACTCCCCAAATCAGCCCAGCCTCTATAGGAAAAACTAGCCCTACCTCTAGGCTGATGCCCACTACTACCTCTACTCCCCAAACCAGAATCACCTCTGCAGTACACAGTACAATATCCTCAAGTGAAACCTTCTCTGTGCAGACAGCCAACACCACCTCCAAACCCCAAACCAGCACAACCTCTGCAGGTAAAACCAGGACCGCCTCTGGGCTGACACACAGTACTACCTCTACTCCCCATACCAGCACCTCCACTGCAGTACACAGTACAAGATCCTCAAGGGAAAGCAGCTCTGTGCAGACAGCCAGCACATCCATCCCCCGAACCGTCTCTGTCCCTGGATCCAGCAGCACTTTGGTTTCTACCAGGATCACAGACCATGGGTCTACTCCAGGTCCAACTTCCTCACCAACCAGCACTCACTGCCAGCCAGAGTGCTCCTGGACCCCGTGGTTTGACACAGACTTCCCAGTCCCTGGCCCATATGGTGGGGACATGGAGACCTACAACAATATCCTGAGGAAGGGAGAGAGGATCTGTCACCGTCCCGAGGAGATCACGCAGGTGGAGTGCAGAGCCGAGAACCACCCTGACGTGAGGCTGGAGGACCTGGGCCAGGTGGTGCAGTGTGATGCCAGCCTGGGCCTGGTGTGCCTGAACCAAGACCAGCGGGGCACGCCCCAGACGTGCCTCAATTATGAGGTGCGTGTGCTGTGCTGCCGCACCCCTGATGTCTGTCCTGAGACGTATGGAACGCCCCCGGTGACCTCTTCGCATGTGACCTCATCACCTGTTCTGTCTCCCCCGACCTCATCCCCAACCTGGTCATCTAGCTCTGTGACTCACTCCAGCCTCCCCTGCTTGTGCCATGTAGGAGGCCACCTCTACCCTGTAGGTAAGCTCATCATCCCTTTAGGATTGCCTGGAGGACCCCATTTCAATCTCTCCTTTGAAAGGGATGTGTGTTTGGTAGATAGTGTCAAGATTGGCCCCATACCTCTTCGTAGCTGTTTTCCTGCTTTAATTGGGTGGGAAGGCCTTGGGCTGCGAGTCCACTGGCCGTGGAGGGGACTTTCCCTGCAGAGCTCTGCCAACTCCCACATGCCCTTTGGTCTTGCAGGTTCTCTCATCTACAACCAGACAGACCTTGAAGGCCACTGTTACTACGCCTTTTGCAATCAGGACTGCCAGTTGATCAGAAATGTTAGCCAGAACTGTCCCTCCACCATGAAGTCTCCTACCCCACCCGAGTCCACTGGCCGTGGAGGGGACTTTCCCTGCAGAGCTCTGCCAACTCCCACATGCCCTTTGGTCTTGCAGGTTCTCTCATCTACAACCAGACAGACCTTGAAGGCCACTGTTACTACGCCTTTTGCAATCAGGACTGCCAGTTGATCAGAAATGTTAGCCAGAACTGTCCCTCCACCATGAAGTCTCCTACCCCACCTCCATCCATGTCTACACCCACCACCACCAAGTCATCATCTGGGTGTCTTGACGTGCTTCCACCAAGAAAGGCAAGCCTATCTCCAGTTCTTCCTGGGGCCTCGTGGTAACTGTTAGAGACCTTAGTGTCTTTGCAATTAGGCCTTGACTCAGGTTCTCATGAAGGTCTTCAGCCCCTAATCAACACAAGGTGGCCACTGGAGGGGTCTTCTTGTGGATTTGGGGGGTCTCATCTACAAGCCTTGTATAGATGTGCCTACCAGGTAGTTGAGTGTGGGGGCTAGAGGCTGAAACTCCCCTGCCTGGAGGTGATGGGCACTGAGGGTGACGGTGGTGCAGGATGACAGACAGGAGTGGCAATCCTGCAATTCTAGCGATTACTTCTGTCTGGTTCGTCCTGGGGCTGGAGTGGGACTTGTGATAGTACAGTGCTCTATACAGGACCCCAGGAACTGAAGGGTGGCCCCACAGCCCTGGCCTCAGACCCACAGCTGCCCTTGCTTCTGCAGACAGGGGAGACCTGGCCAATGCCCAACTGCACCCAGGCCACCTGCAAGGAGAACAGCATCGTCTCCCTGAGCCCTCGCCAGTGCCCAGAGTTGAAGGCACCAACTTGTGCCAACGGCTACCCACCCTTGAAGGTGGCTGACCGGGAAGGCTGCTGCCAGCATTACCAGTGCCAGTGTGAGTGGGGGTGGGGCTCAACTGGGGGGGGCACATGATAAGAGGAAAGAATGAGGCAGATGTCAGGAAAGGCTTCCCGTCATCCAGGCAGGGTTGGAGGAGCTGAGTGTCCACTTTGGGGTGCCAAATGGAGTCCTGCCTGAGGCTCAGCCACAGTGCCCTGCCAGTGGGAGAAGGGGAGGGTTCACTGTGTCCTGGACTCTGCAGCTCATTAAGGACCTGCTTGGCAGAGCTTTCAGGAATGAGATACATATGTCACACGAGTGCAGGGGACTTAGGGGCTCCTGGTGAAGAGGCAGTATGTGTACAGGGGGCTGGACCAGCCAGTCCAGAAGGTGGTGGGGAAGGCCCTGCTGTAAGCTACCTGGCACCCACAGGTGTGTGCAGTGGCTGGGGTGACCCCCACTACATCACATTCGACGGCACCTACTACACTTTCCTGGACAACTGCACATATGTGCTGGTGCAGCAGATTGTGCCTGTGTTCGGCCACTTCCGTGTGCTCATCGACGATTACTTCTGTGACCTGGGAGGCAGCGTGTCCTGCCCACAGTCCATCATCATTGAGTACCACCAGGACCGCGTGGTGCTGACCCGTAGGCCTGTCAACGGGGTCATGACCAACCAGGTGGATACGCCCTCCTAAGTGTGTGCTGGGGTTGAGGGGGGCTTGGCCTGGGAGGTGGACCCTAACCCTGACCTCTCGTCTGCTGTGTCTGCATCCAGATTATCTTCAATGACAAGGTGGTCAGCCCTGGCTTCCAGCAGAATGGCATTGCTGTCTCCCGCATCGGCATCAAGATGTATGTGACCATCCAGGAGATCCGCGTCCAGGTCATGTTCTCTGGCCTCATCTTCTCTGTGGAGGTGCCCTTCAGCTTGTTCGCCAACAACACCGAAGGCCAATGTGGTGAGCCCCACCGCGGGCATTTCCAGGGTGCCAGCGGGGAAGCGTCCCCATGGATTAGAGGGGCTTCTAGCTGTGCTTATGTGCAGCTCATACCTGCCTGTGCTACAGCTTCCCTGGTCACCAGGAGCCAAGCTGGCTTCTGGGGGAGCCGGGAAAGGGAAGGCTCCGAGGCAGGTCCTCAGGCGTGAACCGAGATGCAGGCCGATGTCCAGCAAGGGCTCGCTGGGCACAGCTCTGGCATCCAGCCGGTGACTCCTGTCTCATCCGCAGGCACTTGTACCAATAACCAGAAGGATGAGTGCCGCCTGCCTGGAGGAGCAGTAGCCTCCTCTTGTTCTGAGATGTCTCTCCACTGGAAGGTGCCCAACCAGCCTTCCTGCCAAGGGCCTCCGCCCCCTTCAGTGGTAACCACAGCTCCACCTATCCTATGCCCACCGGCGCCGATCTGCCAGCTGATCCTGAGCGAGTAAGACACCGGAAAGTGGGTTACTCTTGCTGGCCCCATCTGCCGAGGGCTGCTGGGCCCTCATAGGGCTCCCAAGAAGGACAAGGCTCTGGGCACTGTTTCTGGGACTCCTGGCAGCGTGATCACTGCTGGAATGTCACTACAGGGCTGGCCAGTTGGAAGCTCTCAGCTTAGCCCCTGTCACTGATACGGGCATTAACCACTGTCTGTACCAGGGCAGCTCAGGGTGTTGGGGGACAAGGGGAGAGGTGCTCAACAGGAAGGGGTGCTCAACTGATACCTTTCCTGGGCCTCGCAGAGGCAGGATGCCCTTTGTTCTGGAAGACAGGCTCATGGGTGCTAAGTTGCTGTCTGTTACATCACTTCCAAGGCATCCCCTGTGGGGCATCACAGATCCAGAAGCCCCACTGTGGAGCTGGCTGGTGATCTGGGCATGGTGGGTGCACACGCCACATCTGTCCCTGTTCACCCACAGGGTCTTCAAGCAATGCCACAAAGTCATCCCCCCGCAGCAGTTCTATGAAGGCTGCTTGTTCGACCACTGCCACCTGACAGACCTGGAGGTGGTGTGCTCGGGCTTGGAGCTCTACGCGTCACTCTGCGCTGCTGAAGGAGTGTGTATCCCCTGGAGGAGCCAGGCCAATGACACCTGCCGTGAGTGCCCAGCCTTGCCACCTTCCTGTTCTTGACTGTGAGGGTTTAGGGGCATTAGGCAGATAGTCTGTGAGGAAGAGGACATCCACACCAGGATCTACCTTCTCTGGAGGGAAAGGCTCCAGGCACTGGGTCCCCCTGCAGGAAAAGGAGAGGTTATCCAAATTGGGGTACCTATGGACCCAGGATCCTGTGGTGCTGGCTGTCTTGGGTAAGTAGCAGGGAAGCCCCAGGGGCTAAGGACCTGGACCCACGCATGGCTGTGGATACCACGGAAAACTGCAGGGGCACCAGCACTCAGTCATGACTGAGGCCTGGAGGAACCCAGGGCAGGGCTTCTCAGACATGGCTCTCCCTCTCTGCAGCATTCATATGCCCTCCTGACAAGGTGTACCAGCCCTGCGGCCCATCCAACCCAAACTACTGCCACAAGGACTTCAGCACCAGCCAGTATGTGCCAGCGCTCCTGCCCACGGGGCCCACAAACTCCATAGTCACCAGGGACCCCATCCTGGCATCTAACTCTCCTGGGCTGTGTTCTTTCTGCCCTGGGGGTTGGAAGACCCCTCACCAACTCTGTTCCCACAGGGTCCTTCAGGAAGCTGGCCCCATCACAGAGGGCTGCTTCTGTCCAGACAACATGACACTTTTCAGTGCCAATGACTCAGTCTGCATAACCTCCTGTGAAGGTATGTCCTCATGGTGTGGAGGGGCAGCGTGCACACTGACTGCACCCAGTTCCCACCCTGGCCCCCACCGTGGGTTCTGTTCCTGCCCTATCCCTGTGGCCACCCAAAGTGACAGGATCTCTCTCTGCAGGGTGTTGGGGACCCAATGGGGAGCCTGTGGAGGTAAGTGTGAATGGCCACAATCCCTGGGGAAGGGGGGCGGGAGCCTGAGGCAGAAGATTCTGGAAACAAAGTTGGTGTAGGCAAGGCTGAGGTGGAGCTTTCTCAGTGTGGTGTTGGAGGCTGGAGAAAAGCAGGGAGACCACCGTTGTCTGGACCTGGATCCAGGAAGGTCCTCTCCTCTGCTCTGAGGTCTACCCTGTTGGTATCCTGTCTTGGAGCTGCTAGGTGTCTCATGGGTTCTAACCTCAAGCTGGTCAATCCTGTCCTTCCCTGGGGCTCCTTCTTCCCTGAGGAGACACTTGATGAGATAGAGGGGAGAGGAAGCTTGTCGAGCAAAGCCTCTCTTCCACCTGTTTCTAGGTTCTGTGCCTCAAGCCCCACAGGGCCCTCTCTCAGACTTTGTGCATTGCCCCCTCAGCATGTGTTGGACCCATGGGGCCTGGTTGCAGCTGCCTCTGGACTGAGCAGCTCACCCCCAGGCCATGCTCATGCACCCTTCCCCCACAGCCGGGCCACACTATCAGCGTTGACTGCCAGGAGTGTACATGCCATGACACCAAGCTGACCTGCTGGAAGAAGCCTTGTGAGACCCCTCGCTGTCTAGAGCCCGGCTTCGTGCCTGTGCCCCTGGAGATGGGCCAGTGCTGTCCTGGCCTTAGCTGCGGTGAGTCTTTCCTGCTGTCCCCATGCATACAGGTGGGGTCGTCCACTGGGGAGTCACAGGTGCACCGGGTCAGCGGATAGCTCTGTGGGTGTGGCCACAAGAGGCCGGGGGTGGAAGCCGTCCCCTTCCAGGCTCGGCACACTGCCTGAGCACGGGGACTGCTGTGTCCTGGTCTTGTGACCACCCCCTAACAGCAGGTGTTCTCCAGCTGTGCGTGTGTGTGTGTGTGTGTGTGTGTGTGTGTGGTGGGCGGGGTCCCCTGCCCAGGTTGACCAGAGCCTGCTACTCGGGGTCCTCTGGGCTGTCAGTACCACTGGACACCCTGTGATGGGGCAGGTCCTTGGGGTGGAGCAGAGCAAGTGCAGAGCGGGTTCAGTACCCGACGGGCCCCTCTAGTCCCCCGTGACCTCCTCTAGCCCCTGACAGCCTCCTCTGCCCACAGCCTGCAACTCCAGCTTCTGCCCTCCTCCCCTGAACTGCCCCAAGAATTTCATCTTGGTGGTGACACATAAGGACGGGGCTTGCTGCCCGAGTCAAGAATGCCGTAAGTGTCCCTGACCCTCACATCAGGTCACACCGAGGCCTGGGATTTCCTAGGGGAACAAGCCGGCAAAGCCATCGCTGGTTGGAAGTGGGTTGTTGCTCTGCACGAAGCCTTTGGTGAAAACGAGGACTGATATAGCCCAGTACATAGCAGTAAAACACTGGTTTGGGGAGGCCGGGTGGGCAGAAGCCGGGCTAGGCCCTGGAAGGCCAGGGCTACAGCTTGTATGTCTCTTGCACAGGCCCCAACGGCTGCAATGTCAGTGGGATTCTCTATCAGGTAGGAACCTCTGGCACCCTGACTTTGAATTCCACAGAGACTGAGCTTTTCATTTGGGGAGTCCCACCAGCCCCTTGGGACTCAGGTAGACATCTGCGATGCTGCGGAGGTCTGGAGTCACTGAAGCTCCTGTAAGCAGCTCTTGTCCAGACCAGGGACCTGAGTCTTGGTGGACACAGCCCATAGCAGCACAACCGAGCTTGGCCCTGGGACCCCTGGAGCTGCCCATACTGGGTGCCTGGACTCTTCAGCGTCCCAGCAGCTCTCTGCTCCGTGGAATCTTCCAGTGGATACCAGCACCCCACTCTCCCCAGCCAGCACCCCACTCTCCCAGCCAGCACCCCACTCTCCCAGCAAGCACCCCACTCTCCCCAGCTGGGCTTTTTTTTTTTCCAGCTAGTCCTCCGAGTGCATGATTTCAGTGGGTTCCCTGGAGATGTGGTTATAGAGTCTACTTTATGACAGGACCTGGGCTATGGTCTCTGCACCAGGAAGTGACGCCAAAAGTCGTCTCCTGGGGAATGAGTCAGCTTGGTGGGCAGCAGAGGCAACTGGGCAGTTGGGGGATGGGGAAATTGTCTCCCGGTTCAGCCCCAACCCACTAATGCCTAGCCCTGTCTCTCCAGCCTGGTGCTGTGGTCCCCTCCAGCCTGTGTGAAATGTGCTGGTGCAAGGCACCCAGAAGTTCCCAGTCAGATGTCTTCACAGTCAGCTGTGAGCCCCAGCAATGCAGCACCCAGTGCCCCCCGGTGAGCACCGGCCCTGTTCCTGCCCTTACCCCCCTGGGGTCAATGGCCTGAACTCAGGTAGCACATCGTCCTTCCCACTCTCCCAGCCAGCACCACACTCTCCCCAGTCAGAATCCCACTCTCCCCAGCCAGCACCCCACTCTCCCCAGCCAGCACCCCACTCTCTCCAGCCAGCACCACACTCTCCCCAGTCAGAATCCCACTCTCCCCAGCCAGCACCCCACTCTCCCCAGCCAGCACCCCACTCTCCCCAGCCAGCATCCCACTCTCCCAGCCAGCATCCCACTCTCCTAGCCAGCACCCCACTCTCCCCAGCCAGCACCCCACTCTCCCCAGCCAGCACCCCAGTCTCCAGCCAGCACCCCACTGTCTCCAGCCAGCACCCCACTCTCCCCAGCCAGCACCCCACTCTCCCAGCCAGCACCCCACTCTCTCCAGCAAGCACCCCACTCTCCCCAGCTGGGCTTTTTTTTTTTCCAGCTAGTCCTCCGAGTGCATGATTTCAGTGGGTTCCCTGGAGATGTGGTTATAGAGTCTACTTTATGACAGGACCTGGGCTATGGTCTCTGCACCAGGAAGTGACGCCAAAAGTCGTCTCCTGGGGAATGAGTCAGCTTGGTGGGCAGCAGAGGCAACTGGGCAGTTGGGGGATGGGGAAATTGTCTCCCGGTTCAGCCCCAACCCACTAATGCCTAGCCCTGTCTCTCCAGCCTGGTGCTGTGGTCCCCTCCAGCCTGTGTGAAATGTGCTGGTGCAAGGCACCCAGAAGTTCCCAGTCAGATGTCTTCACAGTCAGCTGTGAGCCCCAGCAATGCAGCACCCAGTGCCCCCCGGTGAGCACCGGCCCTGTTCCTGCCCTTACCCCCCTGGGGTCAATGGCCTGAACTCAGGTAGCACATCGTCCTTCCCACAGGGTTTTGAGTATGAAGCCCGGGCAGGACAGTGCTGTGGCCACTGTGTGCAGAGGACCTGTCCCTATAACAATGGCAGCCTCACCCACTTCTACCAGGTTAGTAGCTGGGCTCTGCTAGGTGCCTAAGGGAAGGGGTGGTAGGTCCTGACACCATAGAAACTGACTTTGGCGGATGTGTGCCTGGACCGGGCTAGTACCCCCCTGAAGCCTGAATGCTGTGGGGAGACACACAGGGGATGAAGCAGGTGCCTAGGGGATGGGGGATGGGGTACCCGGGGGAAATGGATACTCACTATGCACACCGGGCCTCCTTTCAGCCTGATGAGTCCTGGCCAGACCCCAGGGATCCCTGTGTGACTCACAAGTGTGAGAATATGCGAAACACACTCATGATTGTGACCACCAAGAAGGAATGCCCGAAGGCCGACTGTCCGAGGGTGAGTCCCGGCTTTCCCACTCCAGGCAGCAGGGAGGGGGTTGGGGGGCACTCACCTGGAGATGAGGAGGGGAGCGTGGTCAGTGCCGTGTGGCCAGCAGTGCTGTCTCCTCCTGCGGAGGGGCTGTGCCCTCCGGAACCTTGGCCCTGTGTCTCCTTCCTCTGCCTGGCCTTGGCATTCACAGCGGTCCGTTGTTGGTACAGGACCGGATCCGGCTGGACGAGGACGGCTGCTGCTATGAATGTTTGGAACCCCAGCTGTGTGAGTGGGGATCTGGCAGGGAAGGGGCTGGGCCCAGCCCGGGGGCATCCAGGAAACAATGGAGCAGACGCTGACCCTCACATCACCTGTCTCCCCAGCCTGCTCTGTGCACCACAGGAAGCAGATTATCCGGCAGCAAGACTGCAGCTCCGAGGGTCCAGTGGGCCTCTCCTATTGCCAAGGCACCTGCGCGGAGAGCACTTCCATGTATGGGCTCCTTGTGAACCGCGATGCCCAGGGAGACGGTGTTCAGGGATGCCGGGGGTGGGGGTGTGTGCAGGGCAGACAGAGGCAGAACCAGGAGGGGCGAGGAGGGTAGCACAGTCTCCAGAGGAGACTAATGATCACTCGAGTGTCCCAAAGTGGGGACAGAAGGGTTCAGAGACGTGCGGCTTTGCCAGCTGTGTAAGCAGAGCTTGGCTGTGCAGATGGGTATCTCAGTTCCGCAGCTGCAACCTTAGGACCTCTGGTGGCTGAAGGCAGCTGTAGCAGGAATATCTGCCCCAGGGCAATTGGGAAGTGAGAGCTGATAGCTCAACTCCAGCCTCAGGGCTTTGAGCACAGGGCGGCAAGGAGGCAGGAGCTTGGCACCGTGCCAGTTTTCCGCAGAGCTGGCAGCGGGCTAGGGCAGCGCCTGGCAGGGCCTGGTGCTGAGCAGCTCTGCCCACAGGTACTCCTTCGAGGCCAACACGGTGGAACACAAGTGTGAGTGCTGCCGGGAGCTGCAGACCTCACAGAGGAACGTGACCCTGCGCTGCATGGACGGCTCTAGCCGCACCTTCAGTTATACCCAGGTGGAGGAGTGTGGCTGCCTGAGCCAGCAGTGTCATGCACTGGGTGACGCCAGCCACTCAGAGCCCTTGGAGTCAGAGTTCACATCAAAGGAAAGCCAGCAGCCAGCGCTCAGGGCCACCGAGGAGGTCAGGCCCTCTCAGTAAGCTGAGCAGCATTCTAGACACACCACCAAGAACGTCTTTTGTGTCCTCAGATCCAGGATTCTGAGGCCAGTGAGACGTGCACCCTTATCTGGGTGACTTGAGCCCCAAACCCTCTGCCCACTTCCTTTCCAAGGAGGACACTGACCCCTTCTGCCCTTGGCGGTGGGAATGGCCTCTATTTACCTGCCAAGAGCATGGGGCCATGACTGCTTTGAAAGAACTTCAGTATCACCAGAGTCTACTGAATGTCAGCCGTCTGGACTGTGGCTAACAGCTGCTTGACCTCAGTCCTAGACCTGTGTCCCCCTCCTCAGGAAATGACCAATCTGTTTCATAAATACACTTAGAGCAGGATTTTGCATTTGTGGGTTCTGTGCATTTTTTAACTTTATATATACAGGAAATGGGCAATGACAGGCCCCAGCTTCAGGGGACTCACGCCTCAGGCTGGCCACTGGGGTCTGGGCAGTGAAGTGAGGGTCACTGGGGAGTTTTCTCTGCTGGGGGGAATATGTCCCAAAAGGTGGCAGTCACTCTACAAAAGCCATCCAGAGTCTGGCTGATGTACAAAGTCTGACGCATCCTGTCAGAGGACAACGAGGGGGCAGATGACTGAATTAGTGACTGAGCACAGAAATGAATGAACGAACAAGAGGGACCTGGAGGTGACCAGGCCGAGCCAAGCACTCTGGGGATCTCACTGCCCAGAGAGGCCTGAGGTGGAGGCTGAAATGCCTGTGGTCAGCCCAGGGACCATGCATGTCCCACGCTCCAATGCCCAAAGGGTTTCAGACTTCACCAAGAACGGGTACATGGAGGACGGGAGGACAAACACCCCTAGAGCAGACACCAGTGGGGCGAGGTGCTAGTCACTTGGCAGGGAGCTGGGGTTGGATCCTGACAGGCAGGGGCTAACAGCTGAACCCTGCTGGTCACCTAGGGGCATTCTGGGGTTCAGGCCTCCCCTTCTCCAAGTGGTTGCAGAGCTGCTTACCCTAGACTGGGCAGTCTCAGACCTGTGGTCACGATACAGGTGGACGGAGTGGGGTGTGGGCAGACTCCGTGCATGTCTCTGGGACGGCAGAGGGACACAGTCCGTCCGGGCAGGTCTTTGTCTCACCAAGGGAAACTGAAGCACAGCTAGGTGGTATGCTGACGGCCAGCAGGGCACACCGTGGGAACCTGGCCTCACACCCTCATCCTGGCTCCAGGAATTCGATGTCCACTGTTTCTACCTTATATTGCCCCTGTTACAAGAAACAGGACCAGCTGGGTCTGGCTGGGGCCTGGGTCCCTCAGGGGGCTGTTGGGTTTGCAACATTCTGGAGCTCAACTGCGCTTCCTGAAGTCACCACAAGGTGGCGCGCATCTGCGGTATCCTGGACCTGGGCTTTCCTTCCGGGGTGGACCGTCCCTTCAGGACAGCCCAGAGCAGAACTGAGGCCTTGAGAGAGGAAAAGGATTTCCCTGGGACTCGGGGTTGTGGGGTCCCCGGGAGAGGGTGAGGGCTGCCCTTCAGTTTCTCAAGCGCGCGCGCGCGCACACACACAGACACACAGACACACACACACACACACACAGACACACAGACACAAGCTTTGGGTTTGGCTAGGGGGACTATGGCTGCTCCCACCCACCTGCTTGCCAGTCAAGGCCTAGGCTGGTCCTCGAGGCACCTTCCGTTCCCTCCTACCTGAAGGGGATCTGCAATCATCAGTGGGGTTGAGGAAGAGGACAGGAGAGATGTACCCAATCCCCACCGGGCTCTTGGATCACAAGGAGTTTTGTCACAACAGCAGGCCTTGTAGCGTGCCACTGGTATCCGGGGTCAATGTGACAGATCCATCAGCATGATGCCAGGCTCCCCCGGGTGTAGACCCCTAGCTGCCCATCCTGCTTGGACTGTCTACTCCCGATGGTGTGGGCTACAGAGCTGGCTTCAGGGCTGGAGGGTTATTCATAACCAGTGCTGGGAGGGGGCACGCCCTGGCTGTGACCCTGTGACCTTTTTGTGGCCAAGAAGGAAGCCTTGCCTGTGAGCTTTGAGCTTAGCTGGCCCTGCACATCAGCTCTGCTGCCTGGCTGACCCCACTGACCTCGTGGTGGCTGCCAGTGTCCTAATCAGTCCCACAGCCCCCGGAGCGGATCAGGTGTCCCAGAGCCGCCTCTTCCTCTCAGAGTGGGGTAGTGCTGTGGTGACTAATCCCCCACCCCTTGGAGCACCCTCAGGCCTGAGGTCCTCCCTCTGCGTCACCTCTGCCTGGAACACGGCGGTGTGCTGGCAGGAAGTAACCAGATCGTGTGTCCCTGGGTGGGAGCTCCTGCCCTTCTAACCTGCCCACCCTGCCCACTGCAGCCTTGGGCAGATTGTGCAATTCATTGTTTCTGGAAAGAGCTAAAGAGCTGGACAGAGGCTACACACACCATAGCCGAAGCCTCCACTCTGCCCACTGGGGCTGCCCCCACTCCTGGACTTGACATGGGAGGGGGTGGTACAAACTGTCAGAAGAGGCCCAGTGGGCCAGAGGTGGTCTGGGCTGCTCAGGGGGACCCCAGGTCTTGAGAACTCGTGTTAGGAACTTCCTGGGAACCACAAACTTGGGTCCCACTTTCACATTTTGAGGGTTCCCCAAATTAAGAGTGGGATGGTCAGAAAGCAGGTCAGGCTCCTCCTGACCCCTCACGCAGCCCCGCCCCTTCATTTTCACCCACAGTGGGAAGCCTGCTTGGTCTGAGGCCAGAGCCAAGGTACATGTCCCTGTGACCATCCTGGGAGGGCAGGGTGAGAGGGAACCCCTGTTTAGGGGTCTCTGGGCAGGAGAGGGGCAGCACAAAACTTGGAGGGGAGCGCAGTCCAGTAACGGGCGGAGGTGAGAGGTCTTTTTAGGTCCAACGTGGCCTGACTCCAGTTGACTATTCTTCTGAAGGCGAAGATGATGAAGAGATTGTTTGTGTCTGTGTCCACAAGTGGGAAGAGACTGCTCAGTGCTTTAACAGACAAGCACAAAGGGTTTCTGTCCACAAGTCCTAGGACAAGATGACTAGGATCCTGGAAAAGGCATGTAGGTACCCATAGCTTGACTACCACCTGCCATTTTCTCTCTCTCTCTCTCT